TTTAACGACAACACCAATATTTAAATCGCTACTTTCGTGAGTTTTCAAGTTTTGAGTCACAATTCGGGGTGTTACTTTATCTTTATTGATCTTTATGTTAAAGAATAAAGATAAATAAAACCTTTATATTTATAATATAAAGATAAATATAATCTTTATTTGTAAAAATAAAGTTAAAAGAAAGAAAAAAGAAAGATTTCCTGCATTCACTGGTAAATAGATGAATAATTTGTATAACAACAGAAAACATTGATTGTAGTTCTTGCTTATCATCACTGACATTGCAGTATGAAATAATACTAGCAAATGAGGGTGAGGCATAAATCATTTATGGAAAAAAATTTAGTGTTCAAAGTTTTTTAGCCTTGAACTTCTTAATTTTCTTCGAGCTATCGGGAGAAGACCAAATTTTGGTTTTTTAAGGAAAAATATTTTTCTTTATTCTTTATTTTATCGTTATTAAATAAAGATAAAGCTACTTTTTCTTTTTCTTTATTTTATAAAGATAAATATTATCGTTATCTTTACTTTATAAATATAAATATTTTATTTATCTTTAAAAAGTAAAGTAAATATAAAGTAACACCTCTAGTCACAATTAAATTCAAAAATAATTGAAACTCAATGCCATGAAGGTGACACAAAATAAAAATCTCTTATGAGAATTACTTTGATAGTCGAATCCGATAGAAATCTGATCGGGTGCTATGTAATTCCCTACGAGGTCGACGAAATCCTATCGTATCCTGGATTTCAGAACGATATCCAAGTCTCCATTGTCGCAATCCGATGTGTTTCTACTTTCATAATTCAACAAAACTCATTGCTAATTCCTAGCCGATCTATGCGGTTAGCATAAGCTGTTCATTAGTACTTAACTACTTAAGTGGATTTCGACAGTCGCATTCGTTAATGGCTTTGTGTCTCGGATATCTGTAGCATTTGGTTAGTTGCTCGGATCTGAAATCGAATTCCTTTGGCTCAACTTGAAACAACTTTGAGAAGTATCGTGTAGTACTTCGTTCAGATTCTTCCACTTGCTTGTATTGAAGAAGCATGGAAATATTAGAATCAAATCAGGCGTCTTTCTATACCTTAGGTTCCTGTTACACTCGGAAAAGAACTGAATAAAATGCGAACTAGTTTATCATTTTACTGCCGCCCATATTTTACTGAACAAACATTATCTAATTTTGTATGACTTAATGAACCTCAGAAATTTTCGAAAATTTTAAGTAGGTGCTGGTTTCAAGTTCATTGGACTAATTTTCCGCTTCTTTTTCAAAGCTTTGAATCAGATCAACAACAAATCATGCTGGAATCTTTAAGATCAAGTTTTGAACACACTCCCAACCAAAACTAAAGATCCTTGTTCAATCTAGACGCGCTCGCAGCAATATTCTGACTATTCTTGTCATCCTCCAAGAATCCGAGATGATTGGCTTTGAAAAGGAACAGAGAAGATGCTGTGAATATCAGTTAGTGACATCTATGATAAGCATGCATAAAAACATGACAAAAAACGCTGCTTGAATCTGAAAAGATTTATTCCTGGAGAATTGTCATCGTTCTTCTACTATCCTTTCTATCAGTCTTTCCTGAGTCAGATGAAGGGTCAGAAAGCATCAAGATCGCGAGATTCCAAATATATCCCGGTTACCTCGACCATGTCTAAATTCAAATCTTACTCTTATTTCTACATGGGTACAAATTGTTTGCTAAGTAAAAATATTAAAGTGCTGAGTTGACTTTTGCTCAGTAAAATTTATATCTGCTCAGTAAAAAAATTAAATGCTAAGTAAAAATATTGAACGCTTAGTTAATTAAAAATTTCTCAACAAAGAAAATATTTGCTAAGTTTGATAACTAAACACTAAGTAAAGATCTATTTTGCTAAGTTAATACATCGCAATTACGTTAAAAAAATGTTATCGCTAAGTAAAATTTATTTTTACTAAGTAACTTCCAATAATGCCGGCGTACAGGACTATCTAAGATAAGGCGTATTTTCTCCTGGTGGTATGGTGTATGTATTTTTCTCTCTTGCTTTCCTTGTATCAACATTAAACTGGTGCCATGACATATGTGTATTCCACCTGTATTTTCTTTCGTTCTGATGTCATACATTAATAGGTATATGTTTTGTTCTAGTATTTTTTGGTACAACTATATCTATGTTTCGCTTGCTGTTTCAACAATATGCAATCTATACGGTTTTCTAGAGAATTCGTATGTGCCTAGCAGTTTATAGAAACTTCTCGTGACCCTCATATAAATATAAAT